TAACAACAAAGATTCCCCCGCCGGGGGTGGTGGGTTGGGGGAATTCTGGGAATTGAAGTCCATTCATCTTAAAGTCCCCAAGATTGAGTAACACTGTTCTAAAGGGCCAATGCAGTAGGTTTTGACCACCCCATCCAATCTGGGATCATCAGGGATTATCCGCCCCCTCTTGCAAGAATTGAATTCGTGGGCTGGCCGTGCACTGCCTCCTGATGGCCAGTTTGGTAAAAGCGCCACACAGGATACAGACGGGGCTGCGGGGGAGAGAAATCCCCGCCAAGAGCTGGCTGGGGAATTCTGGGAGCTGAAGTCCACCCGTCTTAAAGCTGCCAAGGTTGCGAAATGCTGGCCCAGCTGGTGCATTCAGATAGTGCCATAAGCCAGGGGGTGTTCATTTTCATTTGTCGTTCGATGGCCTGAGTGAGACGGGTGATCCTATTCATTTGCCCCCGAATAGAGGGAGTTTCCTTGCCCTTGGCTGAGATCAGCCTCGTGCACAAATGCTTCGGGGTCTTTGAGACGGGTGGTTGGGGTCGCTGACCTCTGGGTGCGTGTGAGAAGGGGTGCAGTTTGAGGGCATGCTTGTGGCTGCCCGTTTAACGTAACTGATCCTCCCCTCCCTGGGTCCTTCAAAGCAGGAAAAAAGAAAAAAAGTAAGTTTCTGGCAATTAGATACGGGGAGAGCCCGTGGAGGGCAACTATTCCTACCACTGGCCAAAAGGCACACTGAACTGAACTGGCGCACGCCAGTCCACGAAGCAGGGTTTACAGGCCACCGTTGGCCGGGTGTGCACAATGCACGACTCTCGGAGCAAGCTGCACGTTTGGCTGAGCCCACCGTGGGAATGCAACGCTGAGCGTGCTTCCTTGCCACGGAGCTCTACCTGTTTTACTTCCCAGCTGGTGCCAGGAGAGGGCAGCCCTGCTCCAGGGGAAGACCCGCTCCAGCCCCTTCCATTGAAGAGCAAAATAATAGGGCCTCTGAATGGCTCCTGAAAAGGGGGGACTGAAGCTGGGAGGAATTTGGCGTCCTTCCCCTGCCGTCAAAACGGGAAGGGGCCGGGTCCCTGGGGGGGGGCTGAGCTGCTTCTTGCAACTTTAGGCGGGTCGATGCAAAGCGGATGGTGCCCAGCAGTGCCCTCGGCTGTGCTGCTGCAGTGGGGAACGGGCGCTTGTCTGGAGAAGGGGAAGGGGGCCTGCGCCCTCTCTTCCTTCACCCCCGCCTCCTCCCACTGGGGCCTGCCAAGTTCCTCCGGCAAAGGGGCCGAGAGCATCCGGAATTATCCTCCCGTGACCTTGAGGACGGAGCCAGCAAACCCTTCAAGGTCGGCAGGCCGGGGAAGGTGGCTTTCTTCCTGGGACGGCGTTCAGGACGGAGGGGTGGCGTTCAGTGGCCACTGGCTTCTCCGGCCTTTGGCCAGCCCAGAGTTAGAGGTTCAGTGGCGGATTTGGACCCTGAGAGCAGACTAAACCGGAATCTCACCTGAAGAAGATGAAGAATTTCTCCCCCTCTCAACAGAAGCCCAGGGAGGTCTCCTCTAGCGCTTGCTCCAGTCCAGCTTCTCACGAGTTTTCCCACTTTTGCCGCTGAAAATCTCAGTAGCAATTCAGATCCAGGGCCGAACGCTGCTTGGCACCTCACCATCTTGTTCCTTTACTTGGTCCTTCACTTTATCTAAAGTTTCTAGCCCTCATGTCTGCAAAGGTGCAAGAATTACAGTACCATTGGACAAAACCAAAGTAGGCCGGGGTGGTTAGCAGAAAGAGCATTTTTGCGAAAGACATAGCCATGGCAATTGATGTGTGGCAGTCATTTGATAGAGCATTTAAAAAGAAAACTTAAATAGTGCTCATGGGAAGATTGAAACGGCGCTGACATACAAAAGCTCGCCTCGTTTCTGCCTCCCCAAACGAAGGGAAAGTGAAGGGCGGCTTTGTAAGGCAGAATGAAACATGGTTTAGCTCGAGTCCAGCCCCATTGTCCGCAGGTCCTGGGGCTGAAATTCCCAAATTCCTAAGCAGCAGGGCTGGGAATTCTGGGGGTCCTCATTTCAACACCTCTGGAGGGCCGGAAGTTGGGGAAGGGGCAACTTTGTGATCTCCTTACTTTTTTTTTTATCAACATCACTGTCAGGACTGTCCAGAAGTTGTCCTTCTCCACACCTGGAAAAGCCCAGTCTCTCTTCCTCCACATGCACCCCGGCCTTAAAATCACACTTTTCTATTTCCCTTCTATCTAGTTTGTTTAATGTCTTTGCATCTGTTTAATGTCTTGTATTCTCCGGTGCCCAGCCAGATGTGAGTCTAGGATTCCTTGGATCTGCTTGTTGTAGAGCCCCTTTCCTGCAGCCCCCCCAATAGTGTTTCTCAACCTCAGCAACTTCAACATGGGTGGACTTCAACTCCCAGAATTCCCCAGCCAGCGTGGCTGGCT